TTGTGTGGAGGACCGCCAGAAATAACCGGTAGTATAATAATTGAAATGAGTCGTGTAGCTGTTCGAGATAACAAGCCCTCAAAGCTATGATCAGAAAGCATGAGCATACTGCATTTTTTTCTCGATATACATCTTAGCAATCGCATTTAGTGGTAAATAATAATACAGCGAAGTACATAACGAATGAATCAAAAGTACTTGACCATCAGTGTTACATTTGTCTAGGTAAACGTAACGGTAGGTAAACGTACGCAATATTCTGACCCAGCACAGCAGGGTCTGAAGTGGTTGTACTGGCTGGATGGCTGCCTAATTCGCCTGTGATGCAGTTGTTTTATAAGGTTCAAGGAAATTAGATGATACCAGTTTGCATCCACCTGCATGCAGTTGTTCGGCCAACACCACACAAGTGTGCCTCACTTCGACCTCGAGTCACACCTGACCACACGTGTTGCTACCGGTTGGAATACGTTCCCATAGCTAGCATAAAATACTGCTGCTGCTGCTGCAGATGTGTTATATACATGCGTCTCAGACTGTCTAGCCGAACCACTAAGCGCTCACATTACCTGACAGCATAAAAGGACAAAACAAGCTTTCGCTTAACAAGCATCTTTCGTGTTCAGGTAAGCGAACAGAGAGCACATCACCACGACTTGATGGTAGATACTAGTTTATAAAGGAGAAGTGGAGTAGAAGCAAAACAACCACGACATTTTAACGAAGTTGCACAAGCTATTAGCAAGTGGTTAGAGGCTGCCATGACTAAAGGGAATTCGGGGAACAGGGCAAACTAATTTCTGTCCAAGCGTTGTTTGAAGCCTAAAATACTAGTAATACAGAGGATGCGGAGAAAGCACAAGTTGCATCGCATCTTTCAGCACGTGTATCGTGTGGATAACGGGTGTCCTATCCCCACGCAGCCTCATCGTCAAGTTGAGATTATGATACCGAATGATCCATTAACTGCATCAGAGGTCTTTGCTATCTTGGCAAGCTTGAATCCCTACAAATCCGTTGGACCTGAAAATATGCACCCTGTCAATGTCAAGCCGCTCGTTAAAATATTCCAGTTTTGGATCTGTTCAACATGGCACTTCGGTAAAGTAGGCTGACAACACTGCTTGGAGACAGCCGTTGCAGCAATATAAAAACGGGGCTCAAAATCAGTCTCCGTCAACTATAGGACAGATAGCCTCACCAGTTTTCTGCCTAAATGCCCGGAAAAGCTTACCAGGAAATGGATATGTACGCACTTAGTCGCCATAATTTGACAGGGTCGAAGCAGCAAGGATACGCCAAGAAATGTCACCCCACCCTAATCTGCTGTTTTTTGAATGATGGGATTCGAGGGGAAGTTTGCTACCTAGACTTTAGCGGGCTTTCGACTCCGTTAACCATCGTTTCTTATTGGAAGAGTCAACATCGTTTGGGCTAGATTCCCATTTATTGTAATGGATAGCAGAATTTCTTTGCAGCAGAACCTTCTATGTTAGAGTTGATGACCTCAACTTAAGCATAGGCACCGCTCAAGGTGGCGTTGCCCAGGGTTCTGTTCTAGGCCCGCTATTGTTCCTTGTGTATCTAAATGACCTGGTTACACTCCTTGAAAACTCTTGCTATATATTTGCGGATGATGTAAAACACGTAAACAAAAGCAACCGCAACTCACTATCGAAAGAACTTTGCATTGTGTCGGGGTGGTTGTTCTCGTGAGACTGGCCTTTCAATGTCTAAAAATGCGACCCGAGAGCTTAGGGGAAGTGACCCGGTGACTTAGGGTTAGCAGTCACGACTAACAACCCAGTGGTCCCGGGTTCAAGGCCTGCTATCTCAATCTGATGAGATGAAATAATTAAATGACAATTTACCGGCACGTAGCCTAGAGGTAACGAACTTGTCTTATAATTTTGGGGAGTAGGTTCGAGCCTGCGTAGGGGTATGGCGACCCAGACCGTATCTCGGGCCCACGTGCGGCCAGCGGTAGTAGCGCGGTAGCGAAGCGTCGGTACTGCATACCAGCGCCCCGCCAACGCCTTTCTTCGAGTTTGGCCAAAAATGTCGACAATCATCCTCCAGCGTCAAAGAGGTTCCAGTACAAACTACTAGCGGTACCTGGACGTTGGGTTGCGTTGATGAAGCGAATGACCTGGGTAGCACTGTAAAGAACAAATTTGTACCATCAGCACAGTGTCAGCACGCAGCCAGCAAGCCGCGGCAAGAGCTATTCCTTCTTAGGAGAGCGTTCTGCAACTTTAAACCAGACCTTTTCTTTCCCTTATATAAGCCGGTGTTACGCTTTCACTTAGAGCACTGTGTGCAGGCTTGGGCACCGTATCTCAGAAAGGACATTAACTGCGTAGAATAGGTCCAACAATTAGTAAAGGCTGATTGACGACCAGCATCGGAAGTCATACGATGAACACCCTACGTGCCTAGGGTTAATTTCCATGAACCGGCGCAAATTGAGAGGTTATTTGATAGAAATGTTCAAAATCATAGAAGACCTCAGTGGTATCAGGCCCATTAACTTGTGTTAACCAAGTACCTTCGACCACCTGCGAGTGCATGGACTTAAACGTAACTATCAAGTGTCCAGGCGAGAAATTAGGGCCAAAGTACTTGCGACGCGCATAGTTCGGGGTTGGAACAAGGTACTTTCAACCTTGTTTAAAAGTGTCACTGTAGAAGTTTTCATAATACTTAAAATAATTGTTGGTTGAATCTTTTCCCGGAATAATTGTAAGTTTATTGATAACAGTTAGACCTCGTAGTCTGTGACCCAAGAAAGTATACAGCTTGCCTTTGTTCTTGCAGCACCTCTTTCGCAGAAGCAAGAGAAGCAATGCAAACGTCAAGTATCGGATGCCCTGGTTTCTTGCCAGTACGAGAAACAGGACAGGGGCATGAACATAAGCTAAGCATCAGAGAACCAGGCTAGAAATGAGAGTCAAGTCCTTTTCGAATCGTGTGGAAACCTTTAAGAAAGGTTTAGATACGTAAGTGCTGGTTAGATCTTTTCCCAAAGTTATTGTAAGTTTATTGATAACTGTCAGACATCGTAGTCGATGACGCAAAAAAGACTGGTCGCTGTTGATCCTGCTTCACTACCTTTGCAAAAGCGAGGGAAGCAACCCAAACGTCGAAGTATCTGAGGATCTGGTTTGCTTGCCAGTACGAAAAAACATGATGCGCGTTTGGCGGAGGACCTATTTCGTCCTTGGAAGCTGACTTGGCCTGACCTTTTAGTTACCACGATATGCCGTATGTATGTATGCATTCACAACAGTCTAGCAACTAGATATGGAGCCAACAAAAACCACGGTTAGTGGATTAGGGGAAGTCATTGCGTCGTAATCATCGTGGCATAGTAGTTGAAGGTGAGCAACACACTTCAGCTAATATGCCGCTGGAAGTAAGGAAGATATTGACAAAAAGTAGAACAAACAACGGTAGTTTGTTTTTCATACGCCGATTCTGCCCTTTTTGTCATTTTCAATGTTTGAAGTATTAAACGTGTGAATCAATACAATTCTGTACACAAATCTTCCACTGATCCCGGTTGCGGGCCACATCTTCAAGAGTGTTAAGCCATTGGCACTCCTCATTTTTGGGTCCCCATCCTGGAAGACGTACGGATCCAACAGCGGCTAGACGTGATGTCAGCGATTTCATGTGCTGTCGCCAAGTGGATGACTGACCACCACACGGTCGCCTCCAGCCAGGTCGTTCAAGAACGAATAGAGCGCGACGCGATAGACGCTCCGGTGCCATGTGTAGGACGTGACCGAGCCATCACAACTAGTGCAGCAAAACCAGCTTGTTCAAGGGAATACTCGCATTCCCCAAGATGCGACGTCGAACGTCATTACTGTTAATTTGATGTTGCCACTAAACATGAGCAATCCTCCTTAAGCAACCCTTATCGAAGGCAGAAAGACGACGCGTGCTTTCCACACGAATCGGCCAGGACTCGCTCTCATACAACAACACTGAGCGAACAGATGCGCTGCAAACGCGGCCCTTTAGCGAGAATTGGACGTGGCGACGACGACACAAGTGCCTCATATTGGCAAATGCTAATTATGTTTTAGCGATGCCTCTTTGCTGATAGTGCCATCAGCAGAAACACAGCTCCCAAGGCAGACGAAACTACCTACCTGTTCAAGTTGTGCACCTTCGAGAGTGAGCACGGGAGCAGGTGAAAGCCAATCCTTGAGCAGTACTTTACATTTGGATGGGGCGAAGCTCATGCCATACTTAGATGTTTCAACCGGCAAACGATCCAGAATGAGTTGCATACCTTGTGGATCGCCACCAAGTAAGGCGATATAGTCAGCATAATTTGTCGGTCGCGCGCTCGCCCGGTAGAATCTCTAAGCCAAAATGTTGGAAACCTTCTGGAACACACTACAGAACGTCTTCGATTGCGAACTTGAAGAGGAATGGAGAGATAGGGCAGCCCTGTCGCACACCGATACTGACAGCGAATTGCGTGGAAAGCTTATCATAGACCCTCACTCTGTCGGATGTATGAAGATGAAGTGCCCGTAAGATGGTGGTATATTTATGGCACCCCGTTCTTTAGCAAGCAACTCCATAAAGCAGGTCGATCAACGAAGTAAAAAGCGACACATATGTCTAGGAATTCAATGATAGTGGGCCTGTGATAAATGTGGCGATGTTCAAAGAATTGGTGGAACCTAAATATTTGATAAACGCATCTGCGGCCGGGACGGAGACTAGCTTTTTCTTCGCGGTAGGATGATTCTCATATTGTGGATAGTCTACAGAGCAGAGTGGATGCCAATAGCCAGGAGGTAACCCAAATAAACAAAACCATGGACTACACTACAACGGTATGCTGTGGTACTGTAATGTATGAAAAACTGGTCGAAATTGCCCAAAGAGTATCCTTACAGATTCATAAGTTAAGTAAGCTTAATTGAAAGAACATTACCAAATCACAGACATTATCATAACAAAGCGAAAATACTAACGCCGTTTATATCTTTCACAAAATAACTACCACTGGATCCCTGATAAATCCGCTCCGGATAAACACCGTGTTCAATAGCGTGTACGGCTTTTTTAACTACTAGCGTGAATTCCGGGTCTTCGGGGTAAATATTTACAATGGGGAGGAATGGAGAATGGTCGGACTCCAAGCCCAGTAGCGGTGTATTCTCTTCGTGTGATTCGCTGGCCATTAAGATAATTCCGGTTGTGGATGCAGTACTGTTCTCATTCTTTATTTCCGAATGCTCATGTAAGACGCAGTGATCGAGATTAACCGACAAAAGCATATGAAGCTATCATCACTCATTAACAAAGAACACAATATTGAAGGGCACATTCAAGGTCAGGTAGGTCAGATCTGGTCAGTTTCCAAGGCCGAAAATAGCTTTCCAACTAAGGTCCCCTAGTACCTCGACTTCTGAGTTGTCTTCTTTGCGTTATACACTACTATTTATGGTGTGGAACTGTTTAGGTAGGTCAAGTAGGTAGGTCAGGTTCCCAGAAACACATAGTCTTCCTGTAGTGAGCGTCCTTCTTTCTGTACGGGCAAGCAACCAAAAGCTCCAGGTACTACAGCGTCCAACTTCGTATCTTGCTGCTACAGAGAAAATAAAACAAAAATATACAATCCTGTGCCTTCGTCATACATGAGTCCTTAACAAAGTGCTACAATAAGTTTACAATATTTCTGGAAAATGATCTAACCACAAGCTGTCTAGATCAATCCTGAGGGCGTCAACCGTTGTACAGTCCATCAACGAAGGAGGAATCTTGTTCCAACTGTGGATAACGCCGTTCGTAGTTCTATCCTGATATCTAGCCGGGAACTCCGATATTTGAGCTTGGGATGTTGGCCTCTCAACGGATCTGATGTAGCTGGCTCTAACAAGCCAGTCAGCCAGATAAAACTGAGTCCGTTCACGATCCAAAACAGCTCTGTTTCCTCTCATTCTACGCTATTCCATAGAAAACACTTCCAAGCGTTTCAGACATTCCTCATGCGGCTTTTCGCGCTAACCCTCAAGCATGTTAGTAGCCAGATTCTCCACGTTTTCTACACAATTCACATCCATCTGGCGATACGGCGCCCACACTTAGATGCAGTATTCTAACTGTAGTCGTACGACTACTTTATATCATGGGAAGATCCAGTGTTACGTAAGGTCCTCCTGAGGCGGAGAATTTGATGCTGCGCCTTGATGGCAACATGCTGAAATTGTGCTAGGAGTTGGAAGCTATGTAAAACGATGACACCTAGACCTTGTGTTTTTTCAACAGGCTGCAATGTCTAGGGTACAGTTGGAATCTGCACTATAATCCCATCATTGCTGGAGGTTAGCAGCTGACAGATAAGGAATTTAAGGGGCAAATCCCATACGCTAGACCATTCGTCTATGGTGCATAGACCTCTAGACAGCTTAACCCTATTACCCTTAATAACCAGTTTCAACTTCTTGGCAAAGATGTGCTTGGTTTCAGCAAGAAGGAGCGCCGTCATTTAGGAATATGGGGAATATGGTGGACACAAAACAACCCTGGGGAATGCCACCGTGAGCGGTGCCTATACTTTAACTTGCGTCAACGACCCTAACGTGAAGTTGCTACCTACAAGAAAAGCTGCTTTCCAAGTCAACAGTTCCGGATGGATCCCAGACCAGACCGGCTTCATCAGTAGGAACCGATGGTCTGCCGAATCATAGGCCTTCCTACAATCAAGATAGCAAAGCTCTACCGCAAGCTCCGGTGGCGGGGAATTCTTCTACCGCTCGAATTTTATATAGCCCGCGGTAGGTCTGGAGATGGCGGGTATGTAAAAGTGTACCTTTTGTCCACCAGCGGTTTTAGGGTAAAAGAGAAATCTACGGGAGCTTTGATGCTGTAAATGACAATCTTTCCCCCTACAAACCCTAAGTACCCGAAGATGCGCGGTACCGCTTGATACTTAAAAAGATACCTACTCCATATGGACCTACAAATTTAATCGGGGCTACATAGAGAATACACTCTATAGATAGGAAATTGCCAAGGCAACATGACACCGGCTTCGGATGCAGCGTTTAAAGCGATTTTGCGTAAGGGTTTCCTTGCGGCTTTATACCGTTTTTCACTGGAGGCTCATACGGAGATATTGTTGGGCGGAACCTGGGATACTAGTCGGTAGGCAATGACACGTAAGACGTGTCAAATACGACAGTATAGAAGTCGGAGGCAACTGAACCCAACGTATATTGTACAGGCTACAAAAATAGGAAGCGAATCAGAGAGAGCGAGAAACGTGCAGCGTGGAACTCAACAAAACGGTTTGTGACAACGGATGCGCAGTCAGTTAAACAAATGGACGTTTCGAAGGTTAAAACAACCATAAAACCCAATGTTACAAGATACTGAAAGAGCATGTTTTCTGTTGCACTACAAGGGCCTCCCCCTAGAAGGCTGAAGGATGGAAGCCTTCGATGGAGCTGTTAGTGGGGGGAACGGAAAGTGAGGGTGGATGCGAATGTTTGCAGGGGCTTCAGAAAAGCTTCCAAAGTGGGGTGTAGCAGATTTCGTTGGGTCCAGGCTTTTGTTAGTTTTATTTATGACGATGGTGTGGACCAGAGTGCATCATCGGTGGGCCGTCGGGGCGGGCTGGTCGGACTGCAAAAAGACTGGCTTGTCCAGAAAAAAGATCGACTGGACCTTCCCATTGCTGCAGACCCGACGGTGCGCTTGGGAGGTGTCACTTCCCCCACCGCACTTTAGTCCACGGTCCTCGTCCCACGAAGAAATGCGGCGTCCGCGTCGGCAATGCCTAGGAAGGCGTTCAGGGACCAATCGGTTCGTGGGTGTCTGCGGTCGAGGGCGAGGAATGGGGTGGGGATGGGGCTGTGGGACGGCTGGCGAGTCACTCCAGGGTTGCGTTGAGCCGGTTGGCGAGTCACTCGAGGGTTGCCTAGGCAGTTCCGGCGGTTGCGTTTCTGGAAGGTAGAACTCAGAGGGGGTTGGCATGGGTCTGGGAAGTGGCTTGACGCCGGAGAGAGATCATGGCATGCATGATAAAGCAAATACGCTTTTTAGGTTTTCAAAATGTTTTGGTTTTTTTTGTCGATTTTGCAAAACGTTTGTGGATGAGGCGCAGAATAACCATTAAAGACGAAAAAGGCGTGTTAATGGAAATAGCAAACGCTTACAAAATCGGAAAAACGGACCGGACGTTTGACCTGTCTACCGCGTCGGTCGGTTGCCTGGGGTTGCGGCGGGATAGGTTGCGGATCAAGGGGTACGGAGGGTTCCGGGTTATCCAGTGCTCGCGAAGTCACCACAGGTGCGGGTGCTTGTGAGAGAGCATCAGGATGGGCTGCAAGTGGCTCGTCAAAGAAAGCCACTTTGAGGCGGTCGATGGACACCGTTGTTCGGTGACCATTCTGGTCTATAGTAAAATGTTTCGGAGTCCGTTGCAGAACTCTGAAAGGGCCAGTGTAGGGAGGCTGGAGAGGGCGCCGCACTGCGTCGGTGCGGAGGAAGACGTGAGTGCAGGTAGAGAGTCCGCTGTGCATTTGCACATCTCTAGTCTGTTCACGGGGCGGGGTCGGGCGTAGTGAACGCATGCGCTGAGCTAGGGAGGACGCAAAGTTAGGCGGAGGCATACCCGACGATGCGGGAGGTGAAACGAATTCTCCTGGTAACTTGAGCGTCGTTCCGTAAACCAGCTCTGCTGGTGCACATTGCAAGTCAGCTTTGATGCTGCTGCGAATGCCTAAGAGAACGAGCGAAATGTTTTCGCTCCAGCTAGGGTCAGCGGAGGCGCAGAGCGAGGCTTTAAGCTGTCTATGGTAACGTTCAACTTGCTCGTTGGCTGCTGGGTGATACGCTGTTGTATGGATGCGGCGACAACCTAAGAAGTTGCAGAACGTATCGAATTGTAAAGACTCGAAAGGCGTTCCGCGGTCAGTTGTGATCGTGGATGGGCATCCGTAGTGCGATACCCACCGATCTAAGAAGGCCCGGATAACAGTCTCAGCTGTGCAGTCTGTTACTGGAATGGCTTCTGGCCATCTGGTGAAGCGGTCGACACATGTCAGAATGTATACGAATCCGCGCGACGGAGGCAATGAGCCTACCAGGTCTAAGTGTACATGCGAGAACCGAGAGTCCGGGGCAGGAAATGAACCAAAAGGACTGTGGGTGTGACGATGTACTTTGGAGCGCTGGCATTGAAGGCAAGCGCGAGCCCAGGTACGAACATCTTTGTTTACGCGTGGCCAAACGAAACGTTCGGTGACCAGTTTCAAAGATGCACGGATACCGGGATGTGACAGTGAGTGCAGTGCGTCGAAGACTGTGCGTCTGAAGGAGACGGGCACGAGAGGTCTAGGACAACCTGTGGACGTGTCACAGAGGATGGTTCCTTCCGTGGTTTGGAGAGGAACAGGTTGCACATGCAGCGAAGTGGACTGCAGAGTGCGCTGTATATCTTCGTCTTGAGCCTGAGCCGATGCCATTGCGGCAAGGTCGACTGTAGGCAAAGAGTGGAGAGTGAGATTGACGCGTGAGAGAGCGTCGGCGACGGGATTGTCGACACCTGAGACATGACGTATGTCAGCAGTGAACTGCGTGACAAAGTCTAGGTGTCTCGTTTCCCGTGGTGAGTATTTGTCGCTAGCAGAGTTGAAGGCAAATATAAGGGGCTTGTGGTCAGTGTAGACCGTGAAAGCGCGGCCTTCGAGCTTGTGCCGGAAGTGACGTATTGCTAGGTAAATGGCGGGCAGTTCTCTGCCAAACGTGCTGTAGCGGGATTCCGCTGGCTGCAGGCGCTTGGAGAAGAACCCAAGGGGTTGCCATTGCCCACCAACGTGTTGTTGGAGGACGGCTCCTACCGCGACGTCTGAAGCATCAGTCGTAATAGAAAGAGGTGCAGTCGATTCGGAATGAGCGAGGAGGGCTATGTTGGAGATAGCGTCCTTGAGCTCGGCGAAGGCTGCCTGTGCTGTGTCAGGGAAAGCGAACTTACGTTCATTTCCTCTGAGTAGGTCAGTCAGCGGCTGCATGAGCTGAGCGCAGCGCGGAATGAAGCGTCGATAGAAGTTGACTAAACCACAAAATCGACGGAGGTGCTTGAAGGAAGTCGGAGCTGGAAAGCCCTTGATTGCCTGGATCTTATCAGGAAGGACTTCGATACCAGACGATGAAACGAGGTGGCCTAGGAATTCTACCGTTGATTTGCCGAGTTCGCACTTAGTCGGGTTGACTGTGACACCGTGTTGGGTCAAGCGCTGGAAGAGAGCTCGAAGATGCTCGAGGTGCTCTTGTTCCGATGAACTGGCTTCTAAGATATCATCGAGGTAGG